ATCAACTTTGGAATGATTACAAGGCCAAGTATGGTGGGATGTAGTCAAATGTTTCGATATAATTGAAGAGTTTCTATGTTTGGGGTTCTGAATTAGTATTAATCTACTGTAATCTACTGAATAAGTTTTTAATTTTACCTTTCATCTCATGTTCTAAAGACTCTAAAGTGTTTAGCTTTCTTCCTTTCTTTTTTCTTTTGCACTTGTATTTTAAGGACATTAATTTAAGAAAATTTTTTTAATATAAATTATTTTAAAAAAAATAAAGTTTAATATTTATTTAATTAAGTATTTAATAAAAATAATACATATGATATTAATAATAAAATTAATATTAATTTTTAATTTTTTATTAATTAATTTTTTTAAAATATATTAATTATATCATTAATTTATATACTTAAAACACATATTAAATAAATCTTGATTTATTTTTTTTTTCAAAGAACACTCTAAACTCGTGAAACTGCCTTCAATGGTGATCTTCCGTACCACGGTGATCCAAATCAATAAATAAATGGTGATCTATACGTAGTTGTGCGAGGCAACAGACAAATCTGGATATTTCCGGATAAAATTTCAAGTGGCAGAAGATAAGGAGAAAGTTACGTGAATATATATCCTGGATCAAGAAAAAGAGAAGAATATTCACAGCATCTGTACGTATATCTCCATACTATTTCACAATATCCCTTAATTTTTTTTTATTACTTATTACAAATTATATAAAAAAATAATAATCTTTTATATTTTTAAATCTTTTATCCAACTCGAGAGTGAAAGTTAAATTAACTATCTAAATAATTTAGTAATAATTTTTTTTATTAAAAATAAAAAATTTTTAATTTGAATCATATGATATATATATAAAATGAGATAAAAAATAAAAAATAATTGTCCTAATTGTATAACTAACATAAAACAAAAAAAAAAAGTCAAACTTAAAATTTCAAAATTAAAATTTTTAATTTTTAAACGTTAAATCATTGGGATATTCCTCAATTTTCTTTTATGAACTACATA